CTCTATGTTCACACCAGAGTCTGGCCCAACTAGTCGGGGGTAAGGCAGAGCCGTTCGTACACGGGCCCTTCTCTGACCTGCTGCGCTAGAGGTCCGTTGCCCTTGCTGGAGAGGCGGGATTAACAGATCCTTTGGGTCGCTGGCTATTCGGGAAGCATTTCTTAGGGTCCCACTGGAAACCTTTTTTTTTTACATTTTCAGAGGGTCAAAAAGTCAAAAAAATCATTGAGAGTTTCAGAGTCATAGCACACTAGAGCTGGAAGGGACCTCGAGAGGTCATCAGGTACAGTCCCCTGCCCTCACGGCCCGACCCAGCACCATCTACCATCCCTGACAGGCGTCTGTCCAACCTGCTCTTAAATATCTCCAGAGATGGAGGTTCCACACCCTCCCTGGGCAATTTATTCCAGTGTTTCACCACCCTGACAGTTAGGAAGTTTTTCCTAATGTCCAACCCAAACCTCCCTTGCTGCAGTTTAAGCCCCTTGCTGCTTGTTCTATCCTCAGAGGCCAAGGAGAACAATTTTTCTCCCTCCTCTTTGTAACACCCTTTTAGATACTTGAAAGCTGCTACCACGTCCCTCCTCAGTCTTCTCCTTTCCAAACGAAACAAGCCCAATTCTTTCAGCCTTCCCTCCTAGCTCCTGTTCTCTCGACCTTTCATCATTCTTGTTGCTCTTCTCTGGCCCCTCTCCAATTTCCCCACATCTTCCGGGAAATGTGGGGCCCAGAACTGGACACAAGACTCCGGCCGAGGCCTAATCAGCTCACAAGTGCCTTCAAGAGGCCTCGGCCCAGCACAGAGCTTTGATGCCGACACCGGTGAGGCTCTGGTGCTGGAGGTGGCGAAGGAGGGGCGGTCCCAACCTCCCTTCATTTGTGACGAGCCAGACGCCTTGCTCCCAGGGTGGCCCCGGGCACTGCTGTGCTGGATGCCTGGGCAGGACCCTCCCCCTCTGAAGGGGGCTATGGAGGCAGGATCCCTCCCCCTCTGAAGGGGGCTATGGAGGCAGGATCCCTCTCCCTCCGAAGGGGGCTATGGGGTGAAAGGCTGCCGGGACTCCCAGAGGAAGGCCCCTGCAAACCGAGTGGTCACTCAGCTAAGAGATGGCCCCTCTGAATGGGGAACGAATCAGCCACTTAGCGCCTGAGCCAACAGCCACTGAGGTCAATGGGAGCGTTTCCTTTGACCTCCGTGGGCTTCGGGTGAGACCCTCATTGAGGTCATGCCCAGCGACAGCCCTGGCAGCACCACAGTCCTCCAGTCAGCTGCTCGCTCTGCCCCTGCTCTCAGCCGGGGGGCATGGGCACGTCTCGGATGGAGCAGAATCCTCAGCCCTTAGAATAATAAATCAAAACCGAAATCCCGGCCCCAAGCACAGACTTTATGCCGCCCCCCAAAGGAGATGAGCCAGAGACTCTGTGATCCACCAGGGACTTCGCTGTAGCTACTGCTTTGACGTGGCAGGTGCTCAGACAATATGGGGATGAGTGGCAAGATAAAATCGGTGGCTGTGGTGGGTGGATGTGTATGGGGATGCAGGGAGAGAGATGGGGGCGTGTTTGGGGATGGAGGGAGAGATGGATGGATGGCTAGATGTGTCTAAGGATGAATAGACGGGTGTGCGCGGGGAGACAGATGAATGGATAGATGGGTATGTGCGAAGTGCATGCATGAATGGATAGGTGTGTGCAGGATGGACAAATGAATGGATAGATGGGTGTGTGCCAGGTGCATGCATGAATGAATAGGTGTGTGCGGGGTGGACAGATGAATGGATAGATGGGTGTGTGCCGGGTGCATGCATGAATGGATAGGTGTGTGCGGGGTGGATGGATGAATGGACAGATGGGTGTGTGCGGGGGGGATGGATGAATGGATAGATGGGTGTGTGTGGGGTGGACGGATGAATGGACAGACGGGTGTGTGCGGGGGGACAGAGGAATGAACAGAAAATCATATTGTTCTGGAATGTGTATAGGAAATGAGAGAGCCGGCGTCTTTATTTCTCATTTTCAGCGTGTTGGTGGCTGAAGAAGGGGAGGGTTCTGGTTGAAAATGACACCAGGAGCCGGTTGTGTAGCGGCATAGGATGGGGGTAGATACAATGTCAGTTACATGTATGGGACCAGGACTCTGCAAGTCAACGTGATCTCAGCTCAAACATCCGCGAGTGCAGCAATTCTAAGTCTTGTTTTCCCCCTGAAGAGAACCACAGGAGTGTGTAGTAACTTCATCTCAACAAGGTGATTTGCCTGGAATTTCCTTACTTTTAAAAATAAAATGATTGTGGAAAAGCCACTAGTGCTGGGGGAAGCTCTTGTTCTCTGTCAAAACGTCAGTTATAGTCTGGTCCAGGTGCCAGCTGTGTTCATTAGCACACTTTGCTGGGCTCGACAGAGCTGCATCCAAATTCCTGCAGCCTTTGCAACGCCGTCCAGCCCAGCCAATTCAGCTCAAGAGGTAGCAAAGTGCCCTTGCAGACTTCTAAAAGTCCAGCTCATTTGGCAGCAGACGAGAAGATGTCTGCATGCTAACCCCTACAGCCGCCTTCATGGCTTTCGACCCGGTCGCTTCTGCCTAGGACTTTAAGGAGTTGCTGCGGCGGGGGGAGGTTTTTTATCTTGAGCAAATATGTGGCAATTTGGCTAATTAATCTCTGGTTTTGGGGTCTCTTGGCTGCAAGCAGCCCCCTTCCCCCCGATTCTTCCCCAGAAATGGTGAAATATCACTCTTCAGCTACGTTACACTGCACGGTTTTTTTGGGAAAAGATACGCAAAATGCGAATCTCAATTTGCATATCTTTTCCCACTTTTTTTTTCCGAAGAGGCTTTCCTGACATTTGGCCTGTCTACACTGAGCCAAACGTCCCAAATAAAAACAACCCTCTTTTTCGGAACATCCCTTCTTCCTCATAAAACAAGGTTTACAGGGATGCTAAAAAAACGCGTCCGCTCTTCTGAAAAAAATTTCAGAAGAGCAGATGCGTTCCTTGGACGCGGCAGAGTTTTTCCGGGATATACTCTTCTATATTTCCAGAAACTCCCTGTGCATTCTGGTTTCCAAAGATGCTGTAACCCTTCTATAAGTCACCAAGAGCAGTGCTATTTTCTGGGCACAACAGGCCTCCAAATTTGCGTTTTTGGAAAGGCTGGCAACTCCTTCCCACCCTCTTTCAAACTCAGTTATTTACAAGGAAAGTCCC